TTGTAAGTAATATGTTTTCTCATGTACTTTTAGTAAGTCATCTAGCTATTTTGTTTTCAAAGATAAAACTTTCCATTTCTCTAGACACTTATTACATCATAGGGAAATGGGAAAGATAACTAATTTATGAAGGACAAAATCCTTACATGATTAATGCCAAAAGTAGTATAGCTTTATAACTTTTCTTACTAAAAGATTGACATTATTATTATTATTATTATTATTATTATTATTATTATTATTATTATTATTTTTTATGTTTTATAATTAACTTAAGTGAAACATAACTAATCTTGATATTGGGGAGTTATAAAACATTTCAATCTCCTCTAGGTGCTTATTATTCCTCAGGGAGAAAGAAATAACGTCTAGCCTATGAAAGGACTAAACCAATACATGGCTAGAGTTAAAAAAAAAAATCAATATTTTCTCTCCACCTATATCAAGATAAGTCATTTTTATCAACCAATTACTATTAATTTGGCTTCGTAAAATTATTTTGTGATGTTTTTAATATGATGAATGACATGAATTTTGTAGTCAATTAGGGTCGAAAAACTTGTAGACAAAGGGTTGGTTATCTAATGCAAGCACTATCCTTGTGATATATCGGTGTCAAGTTGTGCAATGACATTCGCTACTCACTTTTGGTTAAGGCAACGAACGGTTGCCCCTTCCTAGGGTTAACAAAAAGGGAAAGGAAAAAAAAGAATGAAATGCCATGATGCATGAAAATATCCTCTCAGTTGTCTTATTTGGGTCGGCTCATAGTTTTGGGATATACTTTCAAGAAGAATAGGCTCCAACTAGTAGGTTGGTTATTAAGGTTTGTCTAGTAATGTGTCAGGTTTCAAGAGAGATCTACATTTCTATTAAATAAATGGTCCCCAAGCTGCCTTCACTGAAACATGAAGACCCCACTTAACAAATCTAACCTTCTGAGATCTCAAAAGATCCATAGGGGTTAAACCTATTGAATAGGTAACAACTTGAGCGAAGCATTCGTAGTAACCTCCAAGGATTCAAAAATCCTATAGGAAAACCACTACTAACATCTGCTAACCTAGGGTACTCGCAGACTCTAGTATAGGGGCCAAAATATGTGTGAGGAAATAGTATGTGTGTACAGTGTGTGAAGAGAGCATACATACTTGATACACTAAAAGCTACCCAACCCTCATCTGCTAACCAGATTAGTATAAAAGATAAAACAATATAAGCAGTTAAAGTCATCTATCTTAAGATTTGTTCTGCATATTATCTACCCTAAAAGCATGTTATTCACATAATAATAATAAAAGCAGAAGGCTTAAATTTATAAAGCATACTATATTCAACAATCAAGAGGCAAAAACATGTAGAAGAGTAGGCAAAACAAATAAAAAAGCTAGACTAAAAAGCACAATAAACTTAATAAGCTTGACTCTCAAACCATATCCGTATCCCCAGTGGAGTCGCCAAGCTATCGCACCGGCCGCATGATGTGGTGGCCCGATCGTCGTGAGGAAAAAAAAAGGAGCCGCCACCGAGATTTTAAGGAAAAATCTTGGGAAACCAACTGAAGGTGATAAGGATGATTTTCATAACCAGAGATAGGTTCGAGAGTCAATTATGAGTGGGGAAGGTTTTACGCACACCACATTACCTGTTCTGTAGAACGGTTACCTCAATTAATCGTGCAATTAGTATAGCCTTTTAAGATTATTTTAACTACTCTTTTTATTATTTATCCACTAAAAATAAATCTAAAAAAATTAAAAATTAAATTTAAATATGAAATAAAAATTATTATTTATTTACAAGCCGACTTGACTAAGGATGAGAGCCTAGGGCCTACGTATCCTGCTAAAGGGATCAAAGCCCATGTAGTTCAGGATAAAAATTTTATTTTTACATTTTATTATTATTGAAGAGAGATAAGTTGAAGAACAAAAATAATTTTCTAAAATTTGGATATGTATGTGTTAATTGCAAAAAAGTAATTTAATTTTAATTATTACCTAAATTTAAATTTGTAAGGAAAATAATTTAATTTTTTGTTTAAAAATATTTATTTTTTACTTTTTAAAAATTTAACCGTTATACCTACAAGGTCTTATTGACTCATGTGATAATATGATTATTCTAAATATCTATAGAGAATCCTAAAATCTCACACAGCAAAAGAATTAAATGGCTTAGTTTATTTACTTTATTAATTATTTACCTGTATATATATTTATATTTATTCTAATTTTTTTAAACATGTATTATATAAAATCTTAATCATTGTACCTATAGAATCTTATTGACCAACACGATAATATTATTATTCTAAATATCTGCAGAGATTTAAAAATCTCATGCGACAAAAGAATTAGATAATATTTATTTAAATATATATCTTTTTAATTTAATTTCATTATGCATGTCTTTACTTTTACATATATTTTTTAAAAAAAATTCATAATCGTTATACCTGTAGAGTCTTATTGACTCACAGGATAATATGATTATTGTAAAGATCTATGGAGGTTTAAAATCTCACGTAACTAAATGATCTAATTAGTAAATATGATAATAATTTAAATACATCAATTTAATTAATTATTTTTTATAAATGTTTATTATATTATTATTTATAAAAATTATTTATTTATTTACTATATACAAATTAATAATCACAACATCTACAGGGATTTATTATCCCATGTGATGAGGCAATTAATCTGCGTATCTATAAAGATCCTTTAAATCTCATAAGATACTATTAAATATTTTAAAATATAAAAATTAATTTGAATGATTGAGCCATTGGAACCCATGTTTAATATATATAAATTTAATTCTCACACTTATGAAATCTTATTAATTTACACAATATGAGATCATTCTAAACAATTGTGAAAACTCTTAAAATCTCACACAACTAACTTTATTTGGGACAATTAAAGCCTTGTTTGTTAAGAGCTAAAGCAAAAAAAAAAAATTAAATATATAGCCATGTGCATGAAGATTTAGTCCTTGGTGATTGCTCAATTAGCAAAGCACTAAGGCAATGTTCATGATCATGATTCATACAGCAAACAATTTGCAATTATGACTCAAAAAATGCGTCCCCCCTAATGTTATAAAAAACAACTTAATCACCTTTAATCGAAGCAAATATTTTTCAAACAGTATAAAGAAACTTTTAACAAATTTATTTACTTAAGATTAATCACAAAAGCTAATTCTCAAATTTCAAAGAGCCAAAAATGTTGTAGAGGCTTGTACACACTTTGACCCTTAAGGTGAATAAACTCCAACCACACCTAGCCATTTAAATTCAAGCACATAGTAATTAAAACCAAAGACATCACCAAGTTTCTTTTTCTCTTTTTTCTTACATCAGGCTTTATCCAAGGTATTTCCATGTAACATTCCCATTGCAAAATGACATGATAAAATTTTTTGAAAAATCTCCACGATAACCGAATCATGAAACCATCATGTTAGCAACTTTAAACATCTAAATTCATGATATAGAATCAGATTTCACCAAATAATATTCAAGAATTCTAGATGGTGCCTTGTGCCTTTTTTCCAATTAATATCCCATAAATAGGGATAAGCAAAACCGAACCAAAACTGAAAACCGAGTTGAACCAAATTGTGTTTGATATGTTCGGTTTAGTTTATTCAGTTTAAAAGGTTAGTTTAGTTTTTTTAAAAAAATATTTTGGTTTGAATGGTTCGGTTCGGTTTGAAGATTGCGAAACTGAATAAATCAAAGTAACCAAAATTAATCAGATATATTTATAAATATTATAATTGATTTATATTATTAAATATTATATTTTTTAAAATACTAATATCGTATATTTATTGAAAGAGGGTGTGGAAAAAAATGTAGCCCAGTTGACAGCCCAGTCTATTATTAGTCTCTGCCACAAACCCACAGTGCCATTCTTTTTTTTAGCAAAAGCTATAGTGATTAGACATTATAAAATTAGTAAATCCACACAAAGACTTAGATCAGTCTCGGCCCATTATCAGTCTCAGCCCAGTCCTCATCAGTCATCACTTCTCGCTCTCGGCTCTCGCTCGATTGCTCCCAGAGTCCAGAGACTTAGATCAGAGTCATTTAGGTTCAATTTCTATCTCCCACTTAGCCACTCCACAGTCCACACAAAGTCATGATTCACGATTCACTAACCCTAGTAAATAGCAATCTCTGTGACTCTGTATCTCCATCTCGCACTCACTCGATCAGTGATCAGTCGACATCAGATCCTTTGTGGACAGCAGTTTGTCGGCTCCTCTCTTGATCTCGGCTTTAAGTCTCTTCTCTCTTTTAGCCCCACTCTATGAAGCACAAACCATAAATCGCCTCAGGCTTCGTCTCCCTCAACCTCCATCATTCTCTTGATCTCGACTCAGATTAGCGTTCATCTCCTTTCATTTTCTCAAGTCTAGTTTGTCTGAGCTCAGGCTTCATCTCCCTTCTCAGATAAGTGGAACTCATAGACGCAATGTATGGTTCCAGCTAGCGACTTTCTTCATCTCATGCTCATCTCTTCTTCCTTCTCTAAAATGTCTCTGTTTTTACACTTTTGAGACGTGTGTCTCAAGCTTTATTTTCTTTAATGGTTCAGATGTCTGCCTCTTGTGAAGGTGAAGGACAAACTATCATTCCAAATAGCTAAACACTAACTCCATCTTCAACATCTAATACTGAAGTGAGTTCAAGAAAAAGGAAGGCCATACAACCAAGGTCTGAAGTTTGGGAGCATTTTCACAAATATGTTAATGAGCATGGAGAAACCAAAGGTAAGTGCAATTATTGTGAAAGGGAGTTTTCCTGTGATCCAAAATGGAATGGGACTACTGCACTTAAAAATCAGATGGGTGTGTGTAAGAAACAGCCTCCTCCTGAAGAAGGCATACAAACCCACTTAAATTTTAATATAGATCATAATGCTTTTATTCTTGCTAACTAGAAATTTGATCAAGAAGTAATTAGGAAATCTTTGGCAAACATGGTTATAACTGATGAACTTCCTTTCAAATTTGTTGATGGGTTTGGGTTTAAACGCTTTATGGCTGCTGCTCAACCAAGATTTAAGGTTCTTTCTAGATGGATAGTGGCTCGTGATTGTTTTAAAATTTACATGGATGAAAAAATTAGATTCAAAGACCACTTGATTAGAAATAAACAAAGGGTTTTTCTAACAATTGACACTTAGACTTCTATTCAAAGAATCAATTACATGTGTATTACTACTCATTTTATTGATGCTGACTGGAATTTGACTACGAAGATTTTGAATTTTGTTCCAATATCTAGTCACAAGGGAAGGGATATTAGAATAGAAATTGAGAAGTGTTTGCTTGAATGGGGAATTGATAGAGTGTTTACTATTACAGTAGACAATGCTGCTTTTAATGATGTTGCTTTATTGTACTTGAAAGAAAAAATTTCCACTTAGGGCTTTTCTATCATGAAGTGTCAATTTCTAATTGTAAATTTGATTGTTGTTGATGGGTTGAAATTAATAGGGAGTTCTGTGAAGAGAGTTAGGAAGGCTCTTCAGTTTGTTAGAAAATCTGCCCTTAGGATGAAAAAGTTTAAAGAGAGTTGTAAGGATGAGAAGATTCAAAGTAAGAGCCTCTTGACTCTAGATGTCTCTACTAAGTGGAACTCCACTTATTTAATGTTGGAGAGTACTCAAAAATTTGAGGCAGCTTTTAAGAGGTTTGAGGACAAAGACCCTTACTTTTGCATTGATCTTGAACAAGGGGAGGGGGTGCCTGATGCTGTTGATTGGAGGAATATTAAAAGGATGGTGATGTTTTTGAGTCATTTTTATGAGATGACCTTGCGTGTGTCTGGTGCTTTTTATGTTACATCCACTAGCTTGTTTTATGAGATTTACATTATATATCGCCTTTTGGATGAATGGACAAAGTGTGATGATTTTGAGCTATCATCAATGGCTTTTAAAATGAAAGAAAAATATGACAAGTATTGGGGAGATCCTTTAAAGATGAACTAACTCATTTATATTACTGTTGTTCTAGATCCTTGATATAAGTTGGAATGGGTTCAATTTGCTCTTTGTAAAATGTTTAGTGATGAAAGTGAAAATTTGGCAAAGCAAGTGAAGGATGTTTTCATTGCTTTATATCATGAATACAAAGAACATGTCTCTCCCTCTAAGCAATATGAAAAGGAGCAGCTTATGGATGAAATCCAAGCTGATTTTGGTGATGAGGATGACCCTGCTATGAAGGTTAGAAAGTTGCTTGAATCAGAAAAGAGAAAATTTTTAAGTGATCGCCTTAGTAGAAAAAGTAATAGGACTGAAGTTGATAAATATTTGAATGAGGAAATTGAAATAAATAGACCTAACTTTGATATCTTGGGCTAGTGGAAATTGAATGGTCCTAGATTTCCCATTCTTTCAAGGTTGACAAGTGATGTTTTGACAATACCAATATCCATAGTTGCTTCAGAATCTACGTTCAGCATTGGAGGATGTGTTTTGGATGCATTTAGGATTTCTTTAACTCCTAAAGTTGTGCAAGCCCTTATTTGTGCTGAAGATTGGCTTCGTCACTTCATTCCTGTGGTTGTGGAAGAGAAATTAGATGATATTCAAAGGATTGAAAGAGGTAAAAATTTTATAATGTTATGTATGTGCAATGCTACCTTTAAAATTCATTTGTTTATAATTTAATTTAACTCCTAAATTGATTTATTTGTAGATTTCTAAAGAATTGGATCAGAATCAGCAGTGGATATAGTTTGAACTCTTTAAGGTAACTCTTCATTATTGCTGTCCATGGAAATTAGTTCATGTAGTTGTCATATTTGTTTTATTGTTGCTTTTTGTAGTTTTCTAATTTTTGGTGCCTGGTGGACTGTTGGTTCTTGTTGTTGTCTTCTTCTAGTCTTTTTGGTGGTTAGTTTTGTAATAAGCGTGTTCATTTTTTTAGTTTTGTAATATTTTGGCCAGATGTTTAACTATTTTCTTTTATAATGTAGGTTGGAGCAAAGATTTTGTGTCATTGACAGTTGACAACTTATGATGATCTAATGGATTAGTTATTTTAGATTATGTTAAAACTCTTGAACTTATTTACAGTTTTTTAAGGGATTATTGTTGTTAGTTGGTGGATTATTTTAGATTGTTAAGAATTTATATTAGGTAAATTATCAATTTATAAATTATATGTCTTTTGCTCTGCTTCTTCAACTTATAGGTGTAGATTTGAATGACTAAATTTGATTATTTTATTTTTTGACATTTTCAAATTTTACAGCCTCATAAGTCTATTTAAAAATCCCTTGATTCCCTTTTTTAGGATTTGATGTTTTAAATTATTTGTTAATCAGCATTTTTTTAGATAAGCCCAAAATGCTGCCAAAAAAGGCCCAAAATACTGTCAAAAAAGGCCCAAAATGCTGCCAAAATCAAGCCCAAAGTGTTGCAAATAAGGCCCAGTAACTGAAATACAAAAACTGAACCGAACCACTAAACTTCGGTTCGGTTCTACTTCAGTTTTTATAAACTTTCTGTTCGGTTTGGTTGAATAAATTGATGAATTTCAGTTTTTTCAGTTCACTTAAATCAGAACCGAACCGAACCATTAGAACCGATACTCACTCCTACCTATAAACACATATAGTTCACCCAAAGCACTATGAACCCCTATATGGCAAGCATTAATCTACGGCAAGAAGTTTCAATGAACATTAAAAGAGGTGTTTTCAATCTTTTAATCCATTCATTCATTCAATTATGAATAAAAAGGTACACATACCAAGACCCAATTTCTAACTATCAATTTCATGACTGGGGAAAATAAAAAAAAATCTCTAGAATAGCAAAAGGATTATTTTTCAGTTTGGCAGTATCTCTATAGCTTGATTTTGTGTATTCCAAATCCCATATGAACTTTATGAAAAAAGCATGTAGAAGCAATCTAAAATCAAAATGTTATAAATCAAACTCAATATTGGCTTCAAACCTTTTAGCAGATATGGATAGCTCCGATCGGCCCTTCAAATGTTCGGCCTTCTACTTGGTTGCCCTATGATTTACTTCTCTCCTTTGGCTCTCAAATGTTCGTTTGCCTTTAACTCTAAATTCTATCGGACTCTTGCTCACACCAACCTCAGATCTCTCTTAATATCACCTAAAAACCCCCAACACCGAACCCCTCCTCAATGCTTCGTTCCTCTTATATAGGAAGAAGAGGAGGTAGATTTTCAAAAATCATGATTACTCACTGCCTTTTTGCTTTAATCCCATATGCTTCAGCCTGGGATTTGTTGTAGCACCCATTTAGACTTGCTTTTCATCTTTCCTCCTGAGTTTTCGGCTGCTGAAGACTGCTCTGCTTCTGCACTTGCCTAATCCTTCATCAATTTTCTGCTGCTTGCCGCCCCTACTCTTCTCTTCTGCATGCTTGTCTCTTCAACATTCGTCTGACTCTCCCTCTATTGCTTGCCGCCTTTACCATCTTCCCTTTTGCGTGCATGTATTAGAAGTTGAGGAAGGATAGGGCTGAGTGAAAAACTATATGGGTTAGCATTTTACTCTCCCATTTTTTTTAATTTTATTTTCATTAACTTTTTGACTTTTATCCATTTTTTTGATTTTTTTTAAATATGAATTTCAGAGATTAGGGGAGAGGAAATATGATTTTAAATCTAGATATATATATATATACATATATATAGGAGAAATAACTAGATTTTAAAGAATTTAAAAGATATAATTTTTAAAAAGTTGATTCCCTTAATTTTTGATTATTGAGATAATTAGGTGGTGGTAGAGATTTCAAAAGATTTAAGCATGATTTTCTCCCCTCACTTTTTCAAAATTGATTTTGAAGAGAGATTAAATTTATTTATCTTCCTTACTACTTATTTTTATTTTATTTTATTTTTTTGAAAATTAATCCTTAAAAGGCTTGAATTTCGTTTTTTATATCTATTATTTTTTGAAATATAATTCTTAACCAAAAAAAATAATTCGTTTTTTATATTTATTATATTTTATTATATATATATATATATATTAATTATTTTATTATTTTTTTGAAATGTAATTCTTAACCAGAATTAACATTTCGTTTTTCATATTTATTATATTTTTTGTGAAATATAATTCATAATCAAAATTAATATTTCATTTTTTATTTATTGATTTTTTTGAAATATAATTCTTAGAAAAGAATTAATATTTCATTTTTATACTTGTTAGATTTTTTTTTAAATACAATTCTTAAAAAATAATTAATATTTTATTTTTTTGAAAATTTCTTCTCATCTTTTTTTTAAATTAATTCTTCAAAAAGAATTATATTTCATTTTTAAATTTTAATTAATTTTTTTAGATTTTTGTTACAAAAAACAAATACATTTAAAAGTAAAGGCTTTTTAAAAACAAAAAAAAATCTATATCTTTTGTTAAATGTGCAGACAAAATATAGTGTTTACAGATATAAAATTATTTAGTAATCAAATTCATATTTATAAGGACTTGTTAGAATAATTAACAAATGTGAATATACAATCCATAAGGGTAAATAACCAAACATGATTAAAGCCATAAAACAAACGCAGGTATGAGACTCACGAATAATAAACGTGAGAACAAAGCTCACAAAAATCAAACTAGTTAGTAATTGATGTATCAAGGGGTAACGGAACTACTGTTAACAACCAGTGTTCTGTATATAATCCCTTTGAAAATTAATTTTTCAAACATGGAAGAAAATTGCTACTTTTAAAAATATAATTTCTCTTCCAAATATCAAACTTACATGAAATACATAAAAACATTAATTTATCTGAATATAAAAATTCATAACTAATATTTCATAAATTGTCCACCAATATTGGCTTTCTCAAATAAAGGACTACTAAAATTTGTAAAAGCATTTTCGTCAATCTGAAAAGTATAAGTCATGACTTCAAGAAGCAAAACAATTTAATTAACAAAAGTAACTAAAGCAAGTGGAATATACAAATATCTATAAATTATTAAAAATAATATTTTGATAAAGAAAATTTTCTAATATATAAATTGATTGGGATACTATTCACTTACTTGATAAGTCTTCCCAACTTTTATAGCTCACTCTTTATCACTTTTATCAAGATCCTCTTCCTTTAGACACCCTATGTGAATATATTTTGTACATGTGAAAAATTAAATCAATTAAGACAACCCAAATCAACTACAACAATAAAAAATTTTTTAAAAAAAATCAAAATCCATGTCTTAAAAGCTTCTCTAATATCATGGTTACTCATATGTATACTCCCCTTATCTAGCATATTGAGTATACTTCTATAACATACACATCCAAATATTAAAAATAATATTTTGATAAAAAAAATTTTCTAATATATAAATTGATTGGAACATTATTTACTTACTTGATAAGTCTTTCCAACTTTATATCACACCCTTTATCACTTTTATCAAAAGATCCTCTTCCTCTAGACATCCTATATAAATATATTTTTGTACATATGAAAAATTAAATCAATTAAGACAACCCCAATCAACTACAACAATAAAAAGAATTAAAAAAAAAACAAAATCCATGTCTTAAAAGCTTCTCTAATATCATGGTTACCTCATATGTATACTCCCCTTGTATAATGTATTGAGTATACTTCTATAACATATATATCCGAAAATTAAATCATATGACAATACTATGAGTTATAAATTATCAACTATAAAACTCTCAAGAATTCAATTAATCTCTCAATAAATTAGATAAATTTCTTCACGGTATTCAATATAATTTCACAAATGAGAAACACCCAAGCCAATTCATATTTTTCGAGAGATCCAACAAGGTTATAGAAAAATACCTATTCAACTATCTCCTTTTAAAATTTTCAAGTTAAATTCACAAGATAATAGCGTCCCAACCAATTATGTCTTCCAATGAGTTTAATGAGATTTTAGTAATTGCAATTTTAAACAATTCCTAATGAGCATTTTATCAAACACCTTATGAGCACCATTTCCTTAAACAAATACCAACCCCTTCTTCTTCAATTTAACTTCCAAAAATTTTTATAATATCAATATTATAACCTATAAACAAATCAAATTTAATTAAAACTTCAATCCGCACCATCATCCTCTTCCTCATAAGACCTAAAGTTTCAACTTTATGTATTTTTCTTCCTTGCTCATGTGCACACAGCAGCCCATAGTAGCAACAAAATCTCATTCATTACAACATTAACCCATAAAGGAATGAAGACAGTTAAGAGGAAAGGATATGGAATTCCTACCTCAGACCAGTGAAGTTAGAAATAGAGGAGAAGATAGAAATCTCACATCTCAATAGGGAAGGAAGAAGAGGCCAAATCTCCTAATACGAACCTCCTATAGGACCAAATCAGCTCTTCGCATCATCACAACACACGAACAAAAAGAATGGAAGGAGAAAATTGCTCAGCTGTGAGAAGCAGAACAAAAACGAGCTTCAAGAACGGCAAAATTGCAACGGTGAACTCACTGCAACTCGACTCTCACGTCGGCGATAGCAAGGAACGAAGGGATGGAAGGAATCGAAACTTGCAAAAGAAATGAAGACAGAGATCGCAACTGAGGTTTCCAGATTTTTCTCTCCCTCCCTCAGATGCAAAAACGTGATTAAACAAGGAGAAAAAAGAGAAAAAAAAAAAAAAAAATCTGATAAGCTGGTGGCATTTTGGTAATTTTAAAGGCTGAAAATAATTAAAAAAATCTCCCTACATGCTTCAACAAATTTGAACTCTGGACCCTATGGATACTTTGTGTTCACACTTTTACTATACCAACACTCTCTATTGTCATAATGGCCCCAAAAATAATATAACTACAATTAAAACACAATAATATATTTATTTTTATTTAAAATTCTTGGGTTATTACAAATCAAAAGTTGATAATGCAGCTTGAGATGATCCAAGTAATATAACTGTTGAAGAAAGAAAAGAGATTTATAAAATGCTAGTAGTAAATTCAAGTTAGAAGGCAATTTGAGGAAGAAGGGTGATGGTTAAT